CTTGTGTTGTGGAAAAAGCATTCACACTCTCTCTCTCTCTCTCTCTCTCTCTCTCTCTCTCTCTCTCTCTCTCTGAAAATGCATCTTGAACAATATTCTGGGGCCTCTCTGATCTTCAGTTTCTTCATCTAAACTTGGGGTCAGCAAACATTTTCTATTGAGGACCAGTTGGTAAATATTTGGTCTTTACATTTAAAATGTAGCCATTTAAAAATGTTAAGGCCCAGCCATGGTAGTGCACATTGCTAAAACATTATGCTGCACAGGCTGGGACCACATGGGAGACCCAGGTGCAATTCCCAGTCTAACCTAAATCCTGGGTGTGGTAGCATGTGCCTGTAGTCCCAGATGGGAGACTGAGGCAGGTCTCACAATAGTGGGACCCTGTCTAGAAAAAAGTTAAAAACCATTCTTGCAAGATGGTAGGCACATTTGACCCTCAGCTAACCCTGAGCTAAACGAATAAATGATTTGACAGATTAACTTGTCAAGTTCTAGCAAAATATCAAGAGCTGCCCTAATTAAAAAAAAAAAAAAAAGTCTGACCTGGTGATGGATGGCGTTTACTCCAAAACATTTGTGAAATTCATCAGAAATGGTAGGGATCATCACACCATGAAGCTCAGTCGTCCCATGTTATCCCAGGGTTGAGGGAGACACTGACCTAAACTCCAGCCAAACCATGAATCAGGAGCCACTGCTTACTTTCCCCACCTAAGAGCGAGTAAATCGTAGTGTTACCCAGTTCAGCAAGTTCTGAGTGTGTGTTCATAGGAAAGACCCAGTCTAGAGGGAAAATAAAAAAGCAGAATGGGAGAGAGAAGTTTCAATCCAAAATACTCACTCAAAAATATTTCAGTATTTAATGGGAAGATAGACCAACTTGGTACCAGCAGATGGTGTAATGGTTAAGTCGCTGGACTCCCATGTAGTTGACTGCAGTTTGAATCCCAGTGCAGCTTAAAACTCAGCTGAGCGCATAAGTGTGCGTGCCCAAAATCCCAAGAGGAGAAAGGATTGTGATGTGACCATCCCCCCTGCCAGGGGCAGGGAGTGATTTCTTGCTTTCTGTCTCTCTGATGAGCACACCTGCCCTATAGTAAAAAAAAAAAAAAATCTCCAAAAAAAGAAAAAAGATTGACCAACTTAATGATGTAAGCAATGGACTCATGCAGAAATCAACATGTGAAACATCTGGATGGTTTGCACTTTGAATAAAAGTAAATAGATTATAATAGAAAACCCTTCTTTTTTTTTATGGAAAGACTTGGGGATGTTATTGGTATGTGTTGCTGAAAATGCAGATAGCCAACGTTGACTGTTTAAGAAAGAGCAATGGAGGTCATTTTAACTCTCCTACCATCTTGCAAGTACCTTTCTGATTTTCTGCCAACTGAAAATCATATAGTTTCATCTTAAAGATTGGATGCTAACATTATTGCCAAATTTTTTTTAAAGATTTATTTATTTAGTTTTAAAATTTGAGCAGAGAGAGAAAAAAAGGGAGAAAGCAAACTACCAGGTCTGGGACTCAAACCGTGGTCGGCCATGTGGAAATCCAGCGCCTTTAACCACCATGCCACCTGCCGACCCTGCTCATTATTTTTAAAAGAGTTTTAGAAGTAGCTTTTTCTTTTATTTTTCTAATATGCTATAAACTGATAAAGAGCTATTTTTCTGCTGGAATATCAGGGAGCAAGGAGAAGAGTTTAAAATCCAGTTCTCTGTTTATCCAGTGGCAGTAACAGATTTCATTGCCTTACAAATCTCTTGCCAGATGGAATGCTAACCTTGTGAACAAGTACATTGCTGCTCAGGGACCCCTGCCACATACCTGTACACAGTTTTGGCAAGTCGTCTGGGATCAGAAGTTGTCACTTATCGTCATGTTGACAACTCTCACAGAGCGAGGGCGGGTAAGTGGCTTGGTTTCCAATTCAGATATGTGTAGTGCCACATCATGTTTTGTGGAACATAAATTAGGGGTCTTAATGTCTCCTGGTCTAGCCCTCAATGTGGCCTATAAATCTCCTGTGTAGAGATACTCCCAATAATGGGAGTCTCAGCCCTCCTACTACCCACTCCTAACTTGGATCCTGTAACAAGCCAGAAAAGCAATTCCCTTTCCCTCACCTCACCTGCCCCAGAATTCCTATGTTGGCTGTGGCCTTGCCAACCAAAACAAGAGCTGGTCCTGAAAAAACAGTAAACATGCCAAGTTAACAATGACCATAAAAAATAGGAGAAAGTACATTACTGTGCTATTCCCATAGAAACAAATCCCTGATTTTATAAAAGAAATCAATATACAAAGGATACCTATATCATGAATTCCCTAACTTCCTAGATCCATCTGGAAAGGAAATCTCTATTATGAAACATTTATCAGAAACTCATTCTAAAATCAAACATAATGCTTTGAATGATCTGTGTGCCACTTTCTCAAAAGTCCCCTCTTCAGTATGTAGTTCAGAATGCCAAGTTAGTCTGTGTTGAAAATATACAGGAATTGGAATAGTAGTACATGGGAGGAGATAAATCTACTCTCACCCTAAATAGTGAGATAGGGGTTCTGTAGAATAGCAAAGGGTTTTTATATATATGTTGTCTCAGACAGATGGCTCTCCACCTCCACTACAACACTTCCTGGGTTCATCCTGTGGGTGCTCAGCTCTGTTTTTAAAAAAATTCTTCCTCTCAGGAGTTGAAATGCATGTCACTTTTTACCTCCTCCACCCAATTTAGTTCTGCATGGAAGACACAAATACCCCACCTTCCCCACCCCCCCAGATGTTTGCCATAGGGTGCATGTGCTTGCTGGAGAGAGACAGAGACATGAAAAGTGAGAAATCACACTCCCTCCCAGGGGGGATGGCCATTCTGCAGTCCCTTCTCCTCCATTCTTCTCTTGGGATTTTGGGTACCCATGCACATATGCCAACTGTAATTTCCAAGCAACTGGACTCAAACCATGGTCGGCCATGTGGGAGTCCAGCCCTTAACCACCATACCACCTGCTGGCCCCAGTTAGCCTTCTTTTTTATGTGGTGCCTTGCAGAAAATCTGGGGAAAAAAAAAAAAAAAATCAGGCTTCCATTAAGCTTATAGTCAGCAGAAGTGTGGTCTTTGTCTTGCTATTGCCATTGAGCCAGTTTTCCCAGTTCTGCCTGTGACTCTTGGAATCTTCATACAGCTTGCTGAGGCCAGACTATCTGGGTGTAAAGTATGATTCCTCTTGAGCCAAGTTACTTAACTCTAACTCTTACATTCCTATATATGAAATAGAGAAGATAATAGTGCACATCTTAGAGAATCTGTGAAGACTGAGACAATTCATGTAAAAAGCTTGGGAAACTGTTTTACAGATGTCTAGCAAATGTTAGCTGATATCATCCTCCTCATCATCATCACTGGTTGGATTCAACCATTAGATCTCACATTTCAAGAGCTCTCTGGGGCTGTCGGGCTTTTCTTATTTCTTTTTCTCGGCTCTTGCTCCTAGGTTCTTGTCACTCAGAGATTTGATCAGACTTTCTCTTCCCATTAGTCTTTGATTAAAAATTATGAAGTCAAGATACAGTAGAAAACTCCTTTTACAGTGCTGTTACAGATTCACTGAGTGTACACTTTGGAGAACAGTTGTTCATCCTTATAGTTCTGCCCTTAACCATTTCTCCATCTGTTCTACCCAGTTACCATGAGAGACTGTCAGAGACTTGGCTAAAATCATAGTGCAGCAGGCTTGTGACTTCACCTGATCTCTACCTGGAAGTCTAATATAGGGGGGAGTGTTTGTGATTTTATTTTTAATTTGTTTTACTTAGACCATATTTAGACTCAGGTAGCCTTTGCTACCTGAGTTACAATACTGGGTTACAATACTGTCCTATTTTTCTTAAGTTTTTGCAGTCATCTGGTTCTGTGGCATAGTGGATAAGAAGACAGACTCTAAAGCTTTACTTACTGAGTTCAAATCCTGGCTCATCATTTACTATCTGTATGGTTTACAAAAACTACAAAACCTCTGCGTGAAAGAAAATAATAATAACACCTTTGGGGAGAACTGAATCAGTAAATACAGATAGCCTTCTTAGAAGAGTGCTTGGCATACACATATCATATAAATATTAGCTAGGTAGTAGCAGTAATAGCAGTTTGGGTACCACCTTAATAGATATTATCAGAACTCTATTATTTTTGTTTTACTATAATACTATTTGTTATTTTTCTTTAAATTGACTCATTTTTTGCCTTACTAAATTTTCTTTGAAAGATTTTTCTTCAATGAAAGCCCAGTAACACTTGTCATAAGTAGGAGATATAACATAAAAATACAAAATCCATAAAGCAATTTTACTAACTTCTAAATACTTTTGCCTTCCATGCTCTAAACCTCAGCTTGGTCTCTCATACTCTGTATTATGGGGTCATCAGAAAAGCCTTTTTTTTTTACAGAAGTACTTATTTATTTAATTCCATTTGTTGTTATGATTTTTTTTCACATAAAAAATTTTTAAATTCTCTCATGAAAAATCCACACAATCACCGCAGATAGTCATTGCAGAATCTTTACTCCTTCGACTATTCTCCAATCTCCAGCTCACTTTTTGCCAGCACCAACATTGGCCTTTGCAGTCCCCCTGACTTTCTTCATTCTGTTCTTGCTTTCCTTTCACTGTTTTCTTGACGTCTTTTTCTTCTCATAAAAGCCATGTCTTGCAAGTCTATGTTTGGGTTCATTTATCTTCACATAATCCAAAGAATCATAAATCATGCCAAAGCCAGTTGTCTTGCCACCACCAAAATGGGTTCCGAACCCAAATACAAAGACGACATCTGGTGTGGTCTTGTACATCTTTGCTAGTTTCTCCCGAATTTCTGTCTTAGGTACTGTTGCCTTCCCAGGATGAAGGACATCAATGACCATTCATTTCCTCTGAAGTAGTCAGTTAATCATGAATTTCCTGGTTCGGATAGTTACTGTGTCATTCATGATGGCGGTATATCTGTTGTTATTATTTTTTAATTTGACCAGAGAGAGAGAGAGAAAGCAAGCCGCCAGGTCCAGGACTTGAATTGTGGTCAGCCATGTGGGAATCCAGCACCTTTAACCACACACCACCTGCCAGCCCCTTGATGTATTTTTTTAATGTGTTTTTTCTATGCAAAAAAATACATCATAGGGAACCAGCAGTTTGCGTAATGGCTATGTCGCTGGACTCCCACATAGTCAACCGTGGTTCGCGTCCCAGACCCGGTGGCTTAAAACTCACGCCTGGTGTGTGTGCGTGCGTGCCCAAGATCCCGAGAGGAGAATGAAGAAGAAGGGATTGCGGCGTGACCATCCCCCCTGGGGGGTGATTTCTCGCTTTCTGTCTCTATGTCTCTCTCTGTCTGTCTGGCGAGCGCACGCGCCCTATAGCGAAAATCTCTCAAAAAAAAAAAAATACATCATGACTTTTCCAATGACTCATTATTAAAATTTGGTTAAAGTATTAGGTGATGTTAAAGCTGTTCTAGACCCAAACTGAAGTTCTCTATGTGGCACAGTCAGAAATACTACTTTCCCACTGTGTGGTTCTGTGTTTTTGAATGCAGACTCGGTCTTCTCCTGATGTACCACCAAGCAGTCGATGCTTGCAAGCCCTAATGGTCTAGGCTCTTCAAGTATTAGGTTGTTGGAAAAGTCATGACGTATTTTTCTATTGTATGTTTTTCTATGCAAATAGTGTCATGACTTTCCCGATGACCCAATATTTTATAGATAACAGACATCAGGTTTATTGCCTTGTCATTTCCCCATTTGAGAGTTGTGCTAGATTCAGCTTCCTCTGGTTCCTCATTCTGTTCATCTGGGTCCCCAAGTGCCTCTGATTTTCTCCGAACAATTCAGGGAGTGCCACTCCCTGGTCTCCTGAGGTCTGTCTTCTAGTTCATGTGCAGTTCCATAGAGCCAATACCTGAGTTTATTCAGGTACCATCTTCTTGTCTGTGTCACGCTTCTCTTTTTCCTTTGGAAGGTCATTCTTCTCCACAGAGAAAAGGGAGCCCACACAAGAATCGTTTGTTTCTTACAGATGGTGGCAGAGGATCTGCCCTGGATAGCTGTCCCCTCCTTCTCTCATTCTGCTTGTTTCGCACAAGAGAAAGAATGGTCCTTTCTGCAGCCTGAGAGTCCTGGCCTCCGCTGGCAGCTCCTGCAAGCCTTGGCCTTCCTGCTCTGTGCTGATGGCAAACCCCACCTCTCCTTTCTTGGTGTCTGCCCTCAACCTGAGCTCATCTGAAGTCTCTGTGTAACCTGGCGGGTTTCTTTGTTTCTGAGCCCTTTCTTCCTAACTGATCCCATTCTGGCACTTTCCATCAGGTTCCTGCATTTCCATTCCCATGGGACCCACCATTGCCTCACTGTTGCTGGCCCTGGGAACTTAGCTCGTGTTTATCAGCAGTGAGAAATCTTCTTCTAAAATCCAGAGTGTGTGTTTCCTCTGCCTCCTGTTACAAACTCTCAGATGACCCCAACCCTCTATCCTGCAGCTCTGTCTTTGTCCTCATCATCCCCCTCCACTTCTTTCGAGATAGTAGTCACTCCAAGCAAGCAGCTTTCTGAACCCTTTCTTTTTCTAAGAGGTGAAATTTTTAGTGTGTCCTGATGGTTTTCCTCTATGCTATGCACTTAATAGAAGGGAACACCAGCAGTGTCCAGCAACTAGCAAAGTCTCTCTACCATTGCACTCAATTATGCAAATGCAGAGAGAGTTTTCTCCAAAGCCTCATTTTACCCAGTTTTCAGCCTAGTAGCCTAGTGGTAGGGAGCTAGATCCTATATTGCTGATCACAGTTCAAGTCCTGGCCTCAGGGGCTCGAAAAACATGTTGAGTTTGTGTGTGTGCATGCCCCAAATCCCTACAGGATAGAGAAATGGAAAAGAAGGGATCAAGAAATTATAGCATGGGGACCAGCAGTTGGCATAATGGCTATGTTGCTGAACTCCCATGTAGTTGACCACAGTTCAAGTCCCAGACCCGGTGGTTTAAACTCACACCGGGCACATGTGCGTGTGTACCCAAGATCCCGAGAAGAGAATGGAGAAGGGATTGTGGCGTGGCTACCCCCTCTGAGGGTTGATTTCTCGCTTTCTGTCTCTCTGATTCTCTCTGCCTTTCTGGCAAGCACACGCACCCGGTAGCAAAAAAAAAAAAAAAAAAAGCACCCCACTTGGGGTTGCTTCTCCCTCTCCCCACTGTCAAAAGAAAAAAAGCTTAACTTCTTGCTCACTTAGTCAACAAACAAACAAACATCCCTGGGAATGTTGAGATGAGTTAGATACAATATACATTGTCCTCAAGGTGTCCTCAAATCTGGAGGGGGATGAGTGTAAAAAAAAAGAAGAAAAGTGAAGAAATGGCAGGGACAGGTGGCTCATGAAGGAAACTGAATAGGCGTCCTGGACGGAGGAGATGAAGCCATGGTTTGAATGCATCCTCTCCAAAATTCATGTGTTAATTTGAGATTAAGAGGTGGGAGGTGATAGGATTAGATGAAGTCATCAGGTTAGGGCTTTATATTTATAGTGCTACCTTGCAGCGTTAATCAGAGAATATCTTGTCCCCAGTTATGCTGTGTGCAGGACCCTTGGGAGCCTGCAAGGAGGGATTTGTGCCCCAGTAGATTTGTGTCCACTCTGCTGTGGGCTCCACAGACAGCAGACCCTGTACATCTAAGCAAAGTAGGAAAATGCTACTAACCACAATAGCCATGTCTAATGTTTCAAGTAAATTTTTTTTTTTTTTGGAGACGTTTTTGCTATAGGGCATGTGCGTTTGCCAGAAAGACAGACAGAAAGCAAGAAATCACTCCCCAGAGGGGATGGCCATGCCACAATCCCTTCTTCTCCAGCCTCCTCTTGGGATCTTGGGCATGCATGCAAACACGCCCAGCATGAGTTTAATCCACTGGGTCCAGGACTCGAACTGTAGTTGACTACATGGGAGTCCAGCAACATAGCCATTATGCTAACTGCCAGTCCCATCAAGTAAAATTTTAACTCCAATTTTCCAGCAACATGCACCCGTCCTCTCCCACCAAGAACACACACAGCCCCTCAACTTCTCCTGAGTTTATTTTCTCCCATCCTCTCCTGTGTGGGGGGAGGGCTCTGTCTGGATGCCTGACACTAGTTCACCCATCCATGGAGAACTGCTTGTGCAAATCTTCGAGAGGAGGCTAATTTGCACCCCGGTGATTCCTTACAGACCAAATGTCACCAGTACTGGCCCGATCCCCCCGATGTCATGGACCATGGCAGCTTTCACATCCGCTGTCAGTCAGAGGACTGCACCATCGCCTACGTGTCCCGAGAGATGCTGGTTACGAACACCGAGGTGAGCAGGTATCAAGTCAGCACCATTGTGGTCCCAGGAGGGGCCGTGCTTAAGAGCTGCCTGCAGTGTTCACCTGGCAGGCACAGCAATAGACATACAAGACTGCCCGTCAGAGCCAGTGCCTGTGCTCATGGTGACACTGTTCACAAAAGGCAGAGTGGAAATGGCCGGAATCCATTGACAGATGGATGGGCTAAACAAAACATGCCATATGCATTCAGTGGAGGATCAGTCAGCTTTGAAATAGAAGGAGGTTCTGGCATATGCTACAATTTGTATGAACCCTGAGGACATAATGCTAAGTGCAATAAGCTGGTCACAAGAAGACAAATCTGACTGACTCCTCTTATATGAAGTACCTAGTCAGTTCCACAGACACAGAACTGTGTTCCCTAAGGGTTAGGGAAGTTGTGATATGATGGTACAGCGTTCACATTTGGGTGATAAACAAGGAATTAGACCATGGCTATGGTTGTACGACCTTGGGGATATATTTAATGCTGCTGAACTAGGTATTTCAAAATGGGTAGAGGGGCAGACTTAATGCTATCTATGTTATTTGCATAATAAAAATAAGTAGAAAGAGCCAGCATGTGGGGCCAATGGGAGACATGCTGTGGGCAAGAGCAGCAAAGGAGGCAGTTCTGTGTGAGGTGACCAGCACGGAGCCCTCTCGGGAGGACGGGTGTCTTGGGGGAGTGGTGGGAATTGGAAGGAGTCACAGCAGGGCTGTGCCCATTGGAAGAAAGACCATAGGGCAAGGCCATCTGACTGGTGTCTAGGGTGAGGCTGACAACCTCTTGCCCCTCATCTGGCTTGACTCACTGGGTCCCCTCCGTCTCCCACAGACTGGGGAAGAGCACACAGTGACGCATCTCCAGTATGTGGCATGGCCCGACCATGGTGTGCCCGATGACTCCTCGGACTTTCTGGAATTTGTAAACTACGTGAGGTCCCTGAGAGTGCACGGTGAACCTGTCCTAGTTCACTGCAGGTATGAGGGTGTAGAGTTGTGTTTTGCTTTTTTTTTTTTTTTTTTAAGAGAGATTTTTGGTATAGGACATGTGTGCTTGCCAAAGATAGAGAGACAGAAAACGAGAAATCACTCCCCAGGGAGGATGCCATGCCACAGTTCCTCCTCCGTTCTCCTTTTAGGATTTTGGGCATGCACGCACATGCACTGGCATGAGTTTAAAGCACTGAGTCTGGGACTCAACCATGGTCAACTACGTGCGAATCCAGTGATGTAACCGTTAACCATCTGCTGGTCCCTTGCTTTGTTTTATTATCTTTACCCCCCCTTGGGAAAGGCCTGGAGAAAACTGACAGACACCAAACCCACCCCAAACCCTACAAAGTTGTATGGTCTTACAAATCGCTATTTACTTATTTTCTTGACTATTTCAAAAGATGAGAGATCTTATAAATTCACCAACTAGACGGAGGAAGGAAGCTCCTCCTGCTTCTCCTCTGTCCTTAAGTCCTCTGATCTGTAAAATAAGTGGCATAGGGAGTGGAGGATTGGCCCTGTGCCTGGTGGTTAAGGGAGCCAGATCTCATATGACCAATACAGTTCAAATTACGAGCCCCAGTGGCCCGTAAAACACACCAGACCTATTTGTGTACATACTCCAAATCCCAGCAGAATGGAGAAAATGGAGAAGGGTTTGCAGCCTGGCCGTGCCCCATCGAGAGGTGCTTTCTTCTCCCTCTGTCTCTGTGTCTGTCTCCCCCCCCCCAACCCGCCCAGCAAATGCTTATACCCTCTGGCAGATCTTCAAAAAAGAAAAAGAAAAAAAAAAGATAAACTGGACTTAATAGAATTAGAAGAAAAGCTCCTTCCCGGTAAATGCGAGAACTGGCAGGAGTTTGGCCAGGTTTTGCAGAAATGCTCAGGCAGATCCGAAGTCTCAGCTCCTCTCCTCTCTCCAGTGCTGGAATAGGTCGAACCGGCGTGTTGGTCACTATGGAAACAGCCATGTGCTCAATTGAGAGAAACCTGCCTGTTTACCCACTGGATATTGTCCGGAAAATGCGAGACCAGCGCGCCATGATGGTACAGACGTCAGTAAGTAGAGATCTAAACATAAAAACAGTAACAGTGACTGACAGGCCCAAGAGTTTGCACTGGGTCACACTGGGCAAAGGGCTTTGCAAGTCAAAAGACTGGGCCTCAAGGGACTGAGTCACTTGCCCATGGTCACAGAGCTTGTCAGGGACTACAGAACTGCAAAACCTACAGCCATCTCACCTCTGAGTTTTGCTGTCCTCCACTTCTGCTGCCTCTGTGGAATATTTCCTGTCAGCCACTCTGCCGGGGAGCAGCCCTGATTGTGTTGGCTTTGCTGAGCCAATGGCTCATCACTAGTCCATCCGAAGGAGCAAGGTCACCGAGGGTTTCTCTCCACCTGCCTGTGCCTGAGTAGCCCTTCAGACTCAGCAGATATTTTACACCACCTTTTTCTCTTCCCTTTGGGTATTCTCAACACTTTTGTCATGCCTGGGTAGGTGACACTGCAAGTGTCTTCAACAAGAAATTGAGGTTTTCCTCCATAAGTGCAGGAGAAGCAATGAGGTCGTGAAGAAAGAGGCTCCCCCACATATTGGGTGACCTTTGGATAGTCCCTTAAACTCTCTCCAAGCCCGTTGCCCCATCTGCAAAATAAGGACTATACCACAGTTCGTTCACTCATTCCTTCAGCAGATAATTGTACAAACAGGAGAGACTTGAATTATATTAGTTGCATCACTGGATCACTCTGGTTTGGTTTTGTTTTGGTTTTAATTTTCTTTTTTTTTAAAGAGAGATATTTTGCTATAGGGTGTATATGCTCACTAGAGAGACAGAAGGTGACAAATCATCCACCAGGATGAGGGGGATTGGCCGTGCCGCAGTCCCTTCTCCACTCTCCCCTCAAGATTTTGGGCACGTAAGCACACGTGCCTGGCACGAGTTTTAAGCTACCCAGTTTGGGACTCAAACCTCAGTTGACTATGTGGGAGTCCGGTGACATAGCCATTATGCCTTCTGCTGGTCCCACAACTCTGTTTTATTTATTTTTTTATAATTATTTATTTTATTTATTCATTCATTTAATTTGACCAGAGAGAGAGAAAGAGTGAGAAAGCAAGCTGCCAGGTCCGGGACTCAAACTGTGGTCAGCCATGTGGAAATGTCCAGCACCTTAACCACCACGCTACCTGCTGGTCCCCCAGGTAGTTTTAAATCCAGTAGTGATGGGAGCAACTCACGTGGTATCTGAAAACTCAGTGGAAGAGTTTTTAAGCAGACTTTGGAAAGTCAAGGAAGACCTCCTGGAGGAGTGGCCTCTGAGACAGAACCCTCAAGATGATGAGAGGGGAGTTAGCCTAGAAAGAAACAAGAACTCTATAGCTGTACAGGGTTGTGGACAAAGTTTGTAAGATTTCCCTAAGAAATTATAAATTCTTGTAGTTTTATATTAGTTTGTACCCAGGAAATCTGCCTAATAAAAAAAAAAATCGGCTTATGTTATTAGGGCTGTTTTCTGCCCTGTTTTGTGGGATGGAAGACCTCATTGCTGAGTCCAGAAAAAAATTCATCAACTTTGTAGATTTTTTTAGCTAGAGATACTTGATCTAAATGCTTTTTCCCCATACATCCTCTTTACTAAAATATGTTCCTTAGGCATTTGTTAATACAAAGAGCCATACCCTGCAGAGCAGCTCTCAGTGACTGTCCTTTCAAATATAAAATCCAGGCTCCCTGCCCCAATGCAGGGTGCTCACCCAGGAGCAGGTGCCAGGCCACCAGTGCTGCCCCTCCTCCTAGGCACACCCAGATGTGCCGGGCCAGGACCGTGGGACACACTTCTCAGAATGAGCCTTCCTCACCCAGGTTTCCACACTTCTGACACCGGGACGTCCACCCTGCAAAGTCCTCTTTTCCCCCAATTCCTGCAGGCTGCCACTTCCTCCTTCTGTTGTGTTTCCAAGACATTTTGCCTATCTCTCTTGAGAGCATATGGGAATTATGCATCCCAGGTGTGTCTTTACTCTGTTTCCCTGGCCTGTGGCCCTGAGCCAGCTCTCAGGGAGTATCGACGAATGATGCCAGACTCCCTGCACGCGCGCGCACTCACACACACACACACACACACACACACACTCACGGAGCTGCTTACAGGACTTGACAGCTATATTTTCTTTTCCAGAGCCAGTACAAGTTTGTGTGTGAAGCGATTATTCGTGTGTATGAAGAAGGCTTAGTCCAAATGCTGGATCCCAGTTAAGACAACTGTGAAGCATTCATTCCTCTTTCCCAAGGGCATCTTCCTCAAGAGAGAAGGATGGACCTTCTTTCTGGAAGCAGCAAGAGGAACTGGTAGCTGTGGGAAGGGAGTGAGCACATTTGAAGCCAGGCACTTTAAATTTCTAGAGGAAAGGTATCTTGTACATAGGAACTGATGTAGATACGCATGCAATTCCGGCATCATTTAGGCCCGTATTCCTGCAGAGAGAAATGAAAAAGGGATTTCAGTGTGGGGCCTGTCCTAATGCCCTGCTCCCTAGACATCACCGTACCCCTGCCAGCCATCCTTGGACAGGCGAGAGGGGGTGCCAGCAGTGCCGTTGGCCTCCCAGAGGTGAGATGGTGTGGTCACTTAGGGATGGGGGCTGTTTTGTGTGTTTATGTGTACAGAACCGTAAGGGCTCAGCTTTCTGTGCTTCTAGGTGGAGCCAGAACAGTTGTCGTTTCCCTGCCTGATGCTAAGGAAGCCTCGATGAATGTACTCAACAGCAGGGCAGTGGGAACTCAGGCTGAAGGACAGCTGTACCTTTTTTGCTCCACGTTCCTTTGTCCCATCTCCTTGCCACCCGTGATACTCATGTTTCTGAGAATGTGTCCGAAAGGCTTCTTCTGTCTCCCTGCGTTAATCCCTCTTCACGTTCACTCTCGGTGCCTGGACCGGATTAGTCATGTATGTTCGGGTGCCTTTTCAGCCGGACTCTGAGAACTAGGACTCCCGGGTCTTCTTGTCATCATGCATCTCAGTTTTAGAAGCAGGTGTGTCTCTCTGTCTCTGCTAGCCTCTTCCTGTATACTCAGATCCCAGGACTGGAATCGCTGACTACTGAATCTACTACATGTATTGCTGCTACTTCAAGCTACTACACTTGAAACATTATGGTTTTCCCGAGGGGAGATGGGACAATGTCAGCTAAATATTCAGAATCTTCAGGCCTTGTGAGAAAAGTTCTAGACGTTGAACTATGGCAAACCCAGCTTCTAGAGGGTTGTCCGCGGGGGTGTGTACGTGTACGTGCACCCATGGGTGAGTGTTTCTCAGGATTCCTAACTTGATTCAAATGACCGCTGAGTTTATATAAAGAATGGGTCTCTGTATAGAAGAACAAATGTGTGCATTCACCCTCAGTTACAATGGTCTCCATTTCATTTCAAAGGAGAGGATCAGACTATCTGAATATAAACACAATTTGATGTTAATTTATTCTAAGTACATCGTGATTTTGATTGTCCTAAAGAATTCTGCCTTTGTGAATACTGTGTTAAATTTTTTTTTTAATTTGTGACAGGATTGTAGCAAAATTATTATTTAAAGAAAATAAATTACATAAACATTTTAATGTGGTATTTTGAAATAACAGTTTTTATGTAACCAGAAGAGGAAGCTAAGCCAGTTTCTTAATGGTATTTATAGAGAAAGGACGCTTTCAGATTACAGTGCACTTAAATGAAGCCATTTTGGTGTTGAACACACTCTGGACCAATGGAATCGTTTCCTGGTTGCAAGATGGATACAGATCTCTGTGGGGGGGAGGGTTTCTAAAGGTACTTTATTCCCAGACCGATCCTATTTACTCAGATACTCCCATCTTTTCCCATGTTTTACTGCTAAGTAGCAGGGGATGGGAGAAGGATGATCCACAGTGTTGTAACCCCATACCATGAAACATGTCTTCTCCACCAAAGCCCCGCTTCCTTGTCGTATCACATCACGCTGTACTAGGCCACAGAAAGGAGAACGAATGTTTAGAGCTAAGAGGCAGCAGACTTTAATCTGATCTTGCTCAAGGCTAACCGTCTCTAGGCCTATCACTTACTAGCTCTCCCTCTATTTCTCTCGTCTGTAGAGAAACAGTACTTAGGACTTTACGTCAAAATGAAGATTAGCCAGGACCTTGCTGTTAATGTGAATTTTCAACAGCTGAAATATAACCCAGCACTGCTATGGATGAGTTCCTGGGAAAAGTTGACTTCTAAGTAATTAGCCCAGAAACACATCAAACAAGCAGAATCACTGGGTTTTTAATAAGAGAAAAATCCTCTTCTAGGAGAGAGCAGGAACACAAAAAAATGTTATACCAGTACCTTTGTTCAGTCTGGACTCAGAAAAATTCTCTCAGCAAAGCACTAAAAAAGAGGGGGAAGAGGGAATGAATGCTGGCATGAATCTTAATAAATCTTTGCTATTTAGCAAGTCATTGTCATTTGATAAAAATGTATCATCACTCTTGAGAAGTCTAAAGGTCTTTGGATTAGTGTTGTATTATTTTTTTTAAAGCAAACTGTCTAATGTGGTTGCAGAAATGCTGCCATTCTGGTTACATAAACTTCCACGAAGCTTACCAAATATTGCAGCCAGCCTTTTTCTTCCACTGTGCAAGCCAGCAGATATTGCCAGGCTCAGAATCTATGAAATACTAGGAGTAACAAGTGAATTCTCTAAAGGATCAAACGATGCAAGTAAATATTGAATCTATTACCAATTAAAAGCTATAGCTCAAGATTCCTATTTCACCACCTTAGACACTTCAGCAATTATACGCAAGAAGCCGTTTTTAGTCCTAAGCGACAAACTGCATCAGAATCAGGATAAATATTTTGCCTGAGAAATTTGGCTGGATGTGAATGGAGAAGACATTTACATCCTACGTTCTGGCGCTTTCTGGAAGATCTAATTAGACACATTGATGTGCTGACTTAATCAGAATGGGAGATTCCCTGCTGGTCTCACATTCTAGAACACATATTTGGTATTTTGACTTTTCAGAAAAAAATGATCCAATTTGGTTTTGGGATCGAGGCTGGGTAGTGGGATCGCAAACCTGTACTGATCCTTAATCTCCTGCCATGTTTAATTCACACTTCAATATGCTGTTAGATTAGCCTAGAAGCTATTGCTGCTCTGTTCTGGGTTGACATTTTTTTGTTCCTCCAAAATTTATCATTTGAGGGCAAGTAACTGGTCTCTATCCACCAAGGTTAATGAAGACACGGTAGCAGGGAAAAAAGTTTCTCAGACTTTGGTCTAGACCTGGACTTAGGCAAGACTGTCGCCTGCCATCCTGTTTCCTTAGGTGGAAAAGAGGAAGATTGGATTGGACTAGATAAGCTCAACATTTGCAATTCTGGGAGTCCAGTATTCCAGAGAATGGAAATTAATTCTAAACCAAAGCCATATAACTAAAGAAAAAATGTATCATGTTTCTGTGACTTGCCCCAGAGAGGTTGTCCCTCCGTCCTGGTGCTTTTGAATGCAAAGACAGGGATTGCCACCCTCTGGTTCTTGCTTGTCCTAAACTGAGAACAGTTTCAGGAAAGATGGCAAAGACTGACCTCAGCCTGGGAACCCAACAATGGGGAGTCTGATAGCCAGAAAGTCCGCCATCTTTATAGCACATGTTCTGTTTGGAGCAGTCCAAGGATTTGTGTTAAAATTTGTCATTTTAATAAGTATCTTAATTGATCAGCAATATTTTTCTGTATATTTAGAATGTTTTTTATTCTGACCTGTCAGCAACTCTACTGAAAGATTAGCCTAGAAGCTATTGCTGCTCTGTTCTGGGTTGACATTTTTTTGTTCCTCCAAAATTTATCATTTGAGGGCAAGTAACTGGTCTCTATCCACCAAGGTTAATGAAGACACGGTAGCAGGGAAAAAAGTTTCTCAGACTTTGGTCTAGACCTGGACTTAGGCAAGACTGTCGCCTGCCATCCTGTTTCCTTAGGTGGAAAAGAGGAAGATTGGATTGGACTAGATAAGCTCAACATTTGCAATTCTGGGAGTCCAGTATTCCAGAGAATGGAAATTAATTCTAAACCAAAGCCATATAACTAAAGAAAAAATGTATCATGTTTCTGTGACTTGCCCCAGAGAGGTTGTCCCTCCGTCCTGGTGCTTTTGAATGCAAAGACAGGGATTGCCACCCTCTGGTTCTTGCTTGTCCTAAACTGAGAACAGTTTCAGGAAAGATGGCAAAGACTGACCTCAGCCTGGGAACCCAACAATGGGGAGTCTGATAGCCAGAAAGTCCGCCATCTTTATAGCACATGTTCTGTTTGGAGCAGTCCAAGGATTTGTGTTAAAATTTGTCATTTTAATAAGTATCTTAATTGATCAGCAATATTTTTCTGTATATTTAGAATGTTTTTTATTCTGACCTGTCAGCAACTCTACTGAAAACAGTTTGATGAATATAAAAACATTCAAGCTATGCAACACTGTTATCGTCTGTTGACATTGTTATTCTAATAATCGTCTTGATTTATGCAAACATTTTTTTATCAATTATTTTGGAAGAAAGTGTACTCTACTTTTCTCACCTTCCCTCTCATTAAGAGTATGACCCCCTACAGTCCTCCCCCCGCCATAGTACCTGTCTTTGCCTTGATTCTGCATGGCAAATTCTACCAATAAATCAAAACTGGGTTCTACTGTCAAGACAATGGTAGCTCACACCAAGCAGAAGTTTACCCTCTGTCATGCAGGGCTGCCAGTAGCTCCATGATCACCAGGGTCCTTCTAACTTGTTGCTGTGCCATCCTCAGTACACAGTGTCTACCTTGAGGTCCAAGATGGCAACCCCAGCCATGTTCATAGGCCAGCTGGCAGAATGGAGTAAAGGAGAGGAGAAAAGCCCCACCCGACCTTTAGGGAATGCCACCTGGATGCTGTCCATCCACTTAACCAGAACTTAGTCACAGAGCCATGCAGAGTTTACTGCCTGGGAGTCATTTTTATTCCATGAAACCATGTGCCTAACTAAAATTCAGGGGTTCTGTTTCTGAAAAACAAGAAAAGAGTTCAAGGGACACTTGGTGGTCTTGGCCATAGCTCAGCCCTTTGGCCACTCCTCTTTCCCAGCAGACCCCACTACTTCCCTCCCCGAGGGAAACAACACAAACTTATTCATTCAGTTACAGCCTGAAGCTAAAGCTGAAATCACCTCTGGGAATTTGCAGTCTCCCATCAGCTCTAGATGGCATCTTGTGGTCTAATGACTTAAAAAATAAAAAACAGGTTATCTTCCCAACATAACCCATGAACAGTAGTGAAGTTGCACCAGGAAAAGCCACTGAAAACTCATTTGTGAGAGGCAAGCACAGGAGACCCAGAGTCACTGCTCCAATAATTCTAAAATCCCACTGCATAGGATAGTGAAGACACCCTGTTGATACAGCAAGTGCCTTGAGTAAGCACCTAGCAGCCCAGGATTACTCTCAGAAGCGACTCCTTGCCCATCAGCCTCCAAGGCTACAGCTAAGGTGGGACTGCAGAGGATGGCCTCCTTGGCTGCAGGAAAGCTTTTGTAGCTTGCTTACTCCCGAGGCAGTTTTCAGCAGGTCCACAGGTGGTTTTTATGGTTCTAGAAGACCAGGCCAGTAGGATTTCTTTGCCAGTAGAATTACATGAAGTACCTACAACCAAAGATCTGGCCTAGGCTTTTGCATCCTATGCTGCTAATCCTATCAGAAGGGCCCCATCCTCATGACCTCATCTAAACTTTATTATCTCCCAGAAGCTCCATCTCCAAATACCTATTAAAGGTTAGGACTTCAGAATCTGAATTGGCACAGACAAGTTCAGATTTTATCATAATTATAATCTGAGGCCCAAGTTCTCTGAAGTTCCTCTTCCCACCCCTTCTTTGTCTCCCTGAACTCTCAGAGGCCTTGCTCTCTCCCGGAGCCCTATAGCAAGACAGGTAAAGGGAGGTGTTCATGAAGGGCAGCACACTGGGGCTGGGAAGAGGTCTCCAGCCTCCGCCCTGATGTCCTCTTGTTAATGTTCCTGGCATAGGCAATGTGTGTGGCTTTCTTTCATAGGGTTCAGTTTTACACCAGCCCCCACTGGCATGAAAAACAACCTTCCTTCCTCTCAGGTGTGGGCGGAGGAGGCCACCCTCCAACATCCTCACCCCACCACCACTCAGGCCAGGAGGTTCCATGGCAACCTCACATTTTTAATGTCTCTGTTCCTCCACATGTGCCAATGTGAACATATCCTCTGGAGTCCTGCCAGGTGGCAATACCCACTAAGCCACA